GCCCTGGTGAGATTCCAACTGCCAAACTTCTGGCAGTTGGCCGTCACCGGAAGTAGCCTGCAGTGCTGCATTCTAATCACTGTGCCATCGCGGCTCTTGACAGATGTCTCACTTAGCAACGAAATTGTTGGGTTCTATTGTGGTCGTAGGTTGCAGGCCACCTGTACCCCAAGGGATGGAATTGACAAGCTGTGTGTGAGGGTTCCAAATAGCATCCAAAATTAAATCAGAATCCAAGGCAAAGTATTGCTCAAAGTTCCAATTCATTAAGAGAGCCATGTTGGCACATCTGGGAAAACCCGAATCTGAAAGTTTTATGGTTTTCCCCACCCAGTTGAAAGTTCAAGATCTTGCCCCCACACCCACAAGTCCATCACATGGTCCAATCTCCCACTGCCACGCTGGCAGTCCCACCCATCCAGTTCCCATCAGGTGCAGAGGTGTAAAAACAAAAGGATGACCTTGGCTTTCTAGAAAGGAATTTTGTTTTGGCTACATAGCATTCAACTCCGTACCATCCCCCCTCCCATTTCCCCGCAATAGAAACGGCATAGTAGAAAGTAGAAAGTGTGGCAGGCCAAAGATCCAAAAGGAATATGGTTGCAGGGCTGACACTGTGTTTGTGTTCATAGACACCATGATGCTGGGACAAGAGCAGGATCCTGGAGGAGAGAGCCAGCCCTTTGTAACATCGGTGTTCTTCTCCAGGAGCACAACTACTCAGCAGGAAGTGAAGGTAGAAAATCCAGAAGACTTGGGCGAACTCTGGGAGACTCAGTGGCAGGAGTTCCTGAATACAGTGGAAGTCCCCCAGATCCTTCCGGAGCCTTCCCCGTGGGAGGACGCTCACATCTTCCTAGCCTCCTTCGAGCAAGTCGCCAGAGCTTTCCAGTGGCCCAAGGAAGAATGGGCAGCCCGTCTCCGGCCCATCTTGGGAGGAGATGCCGAGCAAGCCTATAGCAGCCTGGAGGCGGGAGAGAGAGAGGATTATGGGAAAATGAAGGCGGCCATCTTGCAGGCCGATGCGGTGAGCCGGGAGAAGCAACGGCAGCACTTCCGACGTTTCTGCTACCAAGAGGCTGAAGGGCCGAGGCAGGTATACGACCAGCTGCAGAGTCTTTGCCGTCAGTGGCTGAAAGTAGAGAGACATTCAAAGGAACAGATTCTGGAAATGCTGATTCTGGAGCAGTTTCTGGCAATCCTTCCTCCGGAGATGCAGAGCTGGGTCAAGAGACATAATGCAGAGAACAGCGCTCAAGTCATATCCCTGGCCGAGGATTTCTTGCTCAGGCAGTGGGTGCCGGGGATAACAGAACAAGAGGTATGTGTGCAGAACTCTTTCTTTTCTTTACCATATTTTTCAGCGTATAAGACGCAATTTTTCCCCCAAAAGAGAGTGAAAACTTGGATGCGTCTTATACACCGAATGTAGCCCGCCCACCCGTCAGCCCCCACTCTTTGGCCTCTGCCTCCCATCAATTTGCCTCCATGCAGCAAACAGCGAATAGCCTGTTTCCGTTTCAGCTTCAACGCAGCCTGATAAGCATGAGCAGGTGATTGTTGGTTGGATTGGCCTCCCGACGATCAGCTGTTTCAGGCTACAGGGATTGCCAATGCCTATTGCCCCCTCTGCATGCCCCATTTTTGGCCTTCGTATCCCATTTTTGGCCTCTGCACACCCTGTTTTCTGCTTCCGCGAACCCCGTTTTCCACCCATTCCGATCCTCGCCATCCAAACGGGCCACGCAGAGGCATCAATAGGCTGTGGCAATCCCTGCAGCCTGAAACAGATGACTGTTGGGAGGCCTGATAATCAGCTACTTGTGCTAATCAGGCTGTACTGAAACTGAAACAGGCTATTAGTCAGCATTCCAAATATCATGCAGAATTAAATCAGAGTCCAAGGCAAGAGCTATCCGTAAAGTTCCAATTTAATAAG